TGCAAGAAGATGCAAGGCTTCGCTTGATGAAACGAATCTTTTAGTATACATTATGCCCATAGTCCATGGTGATACGGTAGACATACGATACTACTTTGTTATTATCAAAATTGATTCATATGAGTAACAGTACATGTTGATAATCTCATAACACATGCATACAATACAATGCACCATGGAAAACGGGCATGATGTATACTAAAACATTCGTCTCATCAAGCTGAAGCCAAATCTTCTTGCAGATTCCAAATAAAGTTCTTTTAGAGGAAGTTATAACTAAATTCAGCAAGTCTCGCAAATCCTGCAAATCATGCAATTTTGGCCGGATTCCACCGCTACAAGTGTACATGGTCTATTTATTCGTTACAGATTCGTCTGCGTAGTTTATCCTTGGTACTACAGCTCAATTTTCGGCAGCAGAAGTGCACTTTCTCTGGTACTCTCTTGCTACATATTTAGTTTTGCTTATTCAATTCCCAAGCTCTACCCATCTTGTGCTGTAGTGCAAGATACCTATAGCTATAGCTCCGCATACAAGGATTCTAATTCTCGGTTAGTTGAATTTCCTTTTCGATTTACGATTGTGTAAAGCGACAAATAATGAAGGATCTGCCAACTACAGGCAGCCTTGTTCATTATCTCAAGCTTCAAACTTCATGAAGCTTTCTATAACAGAGACACAATCGCTGTCAGAGACGCATAAACGCACATCCTTGCTGGCGAGGAAAGCGCAGTTAAAAAGGATCATTTTTTATTTTGAGACTTCTTAGATACGGATTTCACTCTCTACTTACTTTCAAATATTTCTACTGCTCTTTATATTCTTAGACAAACACGTTTTTCATTTTTTCATGGTCTCCCTTTTTTCCAACAACCAACCGGTTCTCTTCAAAGGGGTTTCCTTTTTTTTTGAAGCCAGTGAAAACAACTTGAATTTGGACTTGTTATGCTCACAATGCTGAGCATGTTCCAAAAAGATCAAATGATCTGCTGAAATGAAAAATCAAAATTTTTTTCCTGGAACAAAGCTCAAATACATTCTCACGACTAATTCGTGTACCAAACACAAGCTCAGCTCTGTTAGGTTAGCTACACAGCAAACTTCGTGATGTTTTCAGATTCAACAAAAGCATGAGTGAGAAAAGTTTATAAGCCGCTGAGCATCACCGCAATAATACAATGAGAAACGCGGCTCACACAGCAATATGTCTGAAGTATTGGTAGAGGGCAGTAGAAAAACTTAAGGATGAGCAAGCATGAAGACCGATTTTTGGAGCTTGATGACATGGAGCTTTTTTGATCTGCACTTCTACGCATTGGAGAATACAAGCATACACCCCTAATCTGGTTGAAGAGAAATGAGGATCAACTGTTATATGATTGCAATATGCCCATCTGTTTTTCTTTGAAATAGACACAAACCAGTGGCGTACCCAGGATTTCCGCTCGGGGGGGGGGGGGGGGGCGCGACAAAAATTTTTTTTCAATGAAGGTGCGCCACGCACCCAGAAAAAATTTTTGGTACCCTTAAAATTTTCGCGGGCTCATAACCCCAAAATTTCAGAAAAAGGGGGCGTGGCGCCAGCCACGCCCCCGAAAAAAAATTTTTTAAGGCTAAATTGTATTTTTAAAATTTTTTAAAAATTATTTCAATTACTTACAAGTACAAATAAGTCTCTTGCACATTTTCATAACTCGTGTAAGTAACTTTCAAAAATTTCGCGACCCATTCTCGGGGAGGGGGGGGGGGGGGCGCCCCCCCCCCGCACCCCCCCCCCCCCCTCGGTACGCTACTGACACAAACATGAACATTCCTACATTGTAGAAAAATGGGATTATCTTCAAAGCAACGCTCCAGGCAGTCTTATACGTGGCTCTTAAAGACAGCATCCGGGCAGATGCGAAAATATGGAGCCCAGGGGCGTTCGTCCTGGTAAGGCTCTTGTCCAACTGGCAATACACCAATTTGCTTTTGAAGCGAGAAACCCGCTTCAGAAGTGGCGACCGGAGCGCCCCGGCGACCAGGACGAGTTAGCTCGATAAGCCAGAGTGCGCATACCGCACACAGTCAAGACGTAGGGTCCCACAAAGACTCTGCTTCTTAACCTTAGCGGCAGGCTGAAAAATTCAAATTAAGAGCCTCTGGAAAAGCCCGTTTTCAGCGTTTTCGTGCCCTCCAAGCTGCTTCTCACCATCAAAGAAAGGAATAAGCCCAGGTAAGCGAAAGAAAATTCCATTCGAAATTCTGCCCGGACGCTGCCTTCAAGTAAAATCTGATTTTGGGCCTCTATAGGCACTGTGCAGCAGCAGCGCAAATCCATCCAGGCCGAGAAATTCAATTCTTATCTGTCCCCGTTGCCATATTGAGCAGACGACTAACATCAGCTTGTGCTTTCGCAAGGGGACCCGTCGCCTCTGACAAGGGATGTCATGTAACCTAAAATCGCGTTTCGAGGTGACACATATATTTGGAATCAGCTTCAAACGACGATCCCAATATGGTATTCCTAGCTGCGGCGCATTAAGCACTGAAAAGAGTCATTGATTGTTTTATGCGAGGAAGTTGCATGTATTTAATCTGCTAGGATTACTGTACTAACATTTGAGTGTTAATCACTATGCTACTTTGTTAACGACAACGTCTTGTTTTGATGGTGCGGCACTTTTTTCGGGCAGAGTTCGATTTAAGTGGTACGCCAAGTTCGCTCATTAAAAAAAATCAGAAACTCGCTTCGGAATGGCTGCCGCAGCTAGGAATAGCATATCTGGAATCAGCGTTCAAATCTGACTCCAAATATATGTGTCTCATTTCCGAACGCGATTCTGATCTACGTGACATCCCTTGTGAGATGCGTGCGCGCACGTGCATGCAAGCCCGATGTCGTCCGCTCAGGATCGCTTCATACTGGCCTCGCTGCGGCAACTGCAGTCACATTGGGGAGATCGATAAACATCGGTCAATCGACTTTTGCTGCCGCAGCGATTGCAGCATAAAACAGCTTTGAGTATGGTACTGAAGACAGGTATGAAGATGAATTTCTCGGCTGGAAATCATACGCTGCGGCTTGGATGTTGCCTTAGTTAAAGTCCCACAATCAGTTCCACGTAAAAGCCAAGCGTGTGGAATTTGCCTGTATGCTGCCTTTAATATCCGCGTGCGCAGAAAGAGGAAAGTGCCGCTTTTTTTTGTAAGATCGCAGATTGGTCCTCATTTTATCAATAGCGCCACACTCTTCGCGCAGAAGCCTATGCACAGACTCAATGAAAGGGGAATTCGAGATTATAGTGAAAGACACCTCAAATTATTTGATTATTAGGGTGATCGGTAAAAAATGAGGCACTTAGAGAATAAATGTAGATTTCTCAAAAAAGAAAAGTGATTAAACTTCCCAATTTTGATAGACGTTAGAATGAATTATTCTCTTTCAGAAAATACCTATATAAGGTCATTTACCTACCTAATAATTTTTATAGTGGCTGAAATGCAAAGTTAGTCACTTTGACAAATTATGAATTTCGGGCAGTATCCGCGCAGTGAAACATGTGAAACCGCCCAAAGTACCGCTGCTAGAGTGGATGGTGGGACAGTCACCACACCCACGATGAAATATTGGCCTCAACTTTCAAATTTAGGAGATATTGGCCATTAGCAGCTTTGAGAAGAAAGATAGTGCTATTCAATTCTTTGCAGGTAAACGCATGTTTTATAGGTACCATCTAAAAGAGCTTTTCACGCTCTATCCATCCATACGCAGCTTACCTCACATTTTATCTATCTTCGGAAAATACAGATTGAAACTTGATTTATTGGTTTTGTTGCGCCAAAAAATCGCGATTTTTTTAGGTATTTTACACAGAAATAGAAACAAATCCTGTATGATACATATATTGAAAGAGCATGAAGAGCTCTTTCGAATGGTGTATCAGTTGCTCTCTAACTTTACGGTATGGCAGCGCAAGAATGAGCGATGTTCAAAAAACCCTGTTTGAGTTCTTCAGGGTGCCACCCGTAGGGTGGGAGAGGAGCGTTGGCGCTTTACCAGAATAATAGGGGAAGGTCGCTTATATAAGCGACGTTTATGTTGCAGCTGCTTATTGTTGATCGAAACAAAAAATCTCAAAATTCAATAAAAATCAAGCTGCCCCATTTTTTAGCGATCCTTATATTTCCGCCCCCAAAATATTCAAAAGTGCAGAATTGTGCTGCTCAAATATCAATAAAAGTCAGGTAGTGTTGACGATTGTGTTTAGCAGTCATGTGTCGGACGAGTTTCTACAGATTATTCGAAGCAGTCTTCTCAGACATTCGCGGTTAAGTCTCGCAGTAAAAAAGTTGTGTCCCGACGGAATGATTGCGGGACACAAGTAAAATGGTTTGCGAGAAAACCGGGACTCCTGCATTTTGTTTGGGATAATTCTGCGCGACACGCGCTTTTGTTCCGAAATGCTTTCTACTGAGAAAACCGAGAGCTCCTGCGGGAGTCCCGATAATGTCGCGATCCAATCACCGGCGGGACTCCCTCTCTAAGCTGCAGCACCTGCGCGAGACGCGATTAAGCAGCGATTCGATCAGCTGCTGACTGGGCTTGTTCGCGAACTGGTTCTCCTTCAATAGTACTCATTCGTACTACAAACATCTTACAAAGGTGGTGTGCACAATATAGAGCTAAGAAATACTATTTATTAGATTTCGTGACCGAAAAAAACATTGAAATCACTATAACAAATTTGACCGAAACACTCTGAAATGTCGAGCTCAATATTTGAGGTTAAACCGAAACATTCTGGAATCCCGAGATCAATATTTGAGGTTGAATCCATGATTCAGATAGACTTCGCACTTTCGATCTCTTCGTCTGGTCATGTTCCGCTTCATCGCTTGCTCGTGCACCAAAGAAACATGCGTCGTTGTAGGGCAGAAACGTTGTTACTGGAAATACAATCTAACACTGATTTAAGAAATCATATATGAATTTTACCGTGGTTGGCGTCAGTTTCTCCTAATCAGCATAAAAATTATATGCTCGCACATCTGCCCTGAATTTCAAGCTCAATAGATCTATGAAACAATCTTGTGGAAACTTACAAAGCTCTTCCTATAGCCACTCGTGCTATTCCATTCCATAGCCGCGCCTCGGACAACTTGTCAAGCGTCTTCGTCCTAGTCTCGTCGTCGTTCCCTAGGCCCAGCCAAAATCTAAATCAATGAGGATATCAAGAGGTAGAAACACTTCTATCTATACCTATTTCTTTTGCGCGCGCATTCAGTATCAGTCAGTTGAAGTTTTTCTGCGTGAAGGCCAACACCATCAAGAACGAAATCTGGAAGATTATTATAGAATTTTTAGAAAGACCATCAATCACTCACTTATCAGAAATGTAGCCAGACTTTCAGCTCGTGCAAATGAGAAAATCTTCCACTTCTACAGGACTGTCTGCATGCAAACTTCTATATTTCTTGTTTTGACTCGCAGGCCTAAGTGCGCACCTCTCGATTAGGATAGTCTCGACATTTTATTCTCACTTACATTCAAGAAACTACTGTTACTCCTGTTGAGTCTACAGTCAAATCTCTCATATGACTGTGTAAATTGCAAACACCATCCATCTTCGGCGTCCCCATCCTGGATTTGCAATGGCAAAAACGCAGGAGACTGGCCGGTTGCTATAGCTTACATTACTTTGAAGTCATTAGTACCCAAAAAGGAAAGAAAACGCTGAGTATTATACTACAGTACATACGAAAATACTTATTCGAAGGGCCGCCTGCCAAGAATCCAGGATTGGGACGCCAAAGATAGACAGTGTGTGCAAAAGCACACGTAATCATATGAATTGATTCGACTGCACATGTCAATTAATCACATTGGTCTTTTACGAGAAGAGAAGCAATTTACAAAAAAAAAGCTATGAGGGCAGGCTGAATGAAATCAGTTGCTGCTTCGATACAACCAAAATGACAAGTGCCGATTGCATGAAAGCAGTTTTAATTACCAATGGACTTTTATAATCACACATACCATAAAATAACAACCTTACACAAAGGATTTCGAAGAACTGAATAACTGTAAAATCTTATTAGAATTCCCGGTCAGGGAAAAATGCCGGCGCCAGCAAAGTCCATTCATAAAGTGCAATGCAAAGCCACGACAATACGATTTTAACCCACACTGGAGCCACTTGCTGTTCAGATATGTGAGATCATTTTCAGGACCATAAAAGAAAAAATTTTGAAGGAAATTTTTAGCGAGATGAAAAATCTTTAAAACTTACTTGTACCAGCTGGTCAACGTCATCATCACATACAGGGATGCAAGTCCAAACATGAAATGGAAGAATGAGTAAGAATATGCAACCCGTTTCGATTCATTGCTCCAAACCCGCTTCGAACTTCCATGGGATGCTTCTTCGTCATCTGGTTTAAACAGTCATATCAATCTGTCCCATCAAAGCCAAAACATGCATATACAGCGTTAAACAACAAAGAAGTTAGCAGAAAAACTTCACAGCAAAAGACGGCTAACCAACTACACTATAGACGCGAACAGAAAAAAGGAACTTTATTCAGTAGTTTTGTTTGACAATCCAGAAAGGATGCATATTACGCCCTTTAGGAAACACTATATCGCAAACAGAAATTTCATCACATCATACATTGAAAACGACTCGCGTACCCCGAAATCGCGTCTCCCGACAACCTCCCGCTTCATTTTGACTGTCAGGATAATCCCGAAAGTCGGGACAAATCCGGGTGTCGAGCAACATTCCCGATTTTCTCGCGAATTCTCATTTCGTGAGCGGATCACCTGCGCGACTTAACCGCGAATGTCTGAGTTCGATCATAAAGTTTTCTAACAAGAGTAAAGTCCAGATGCTTGTGTGTTTGAGCCAGAAGAACACATGTGTCAGCTTGTTCAACATAAATGGGCCAGCATCAAGATTGCAACCGTTTGCTGCAGGGTTGCCGCAAACGATGGAGGGGCTTTGCGAAAGCAAATTATTACCATTAAATGAACATAAGGGACTGCTATATTCATCATATCCCAAGGATCTGTTCTAACCAAATATTTCCCTTTCTTGAGTTCACGTTATCATCTGACTAACACATACTTGAGTAAAGACCAAAAAAATTTTACACTTCCTCGCTTTTGCAGGTGTAAGCTTTTGGATTTGGCTGCTTATACAATGGCGATCGTTGTGAGTGTCGTTGCCTATGCTGCCGTGTTGTATAAAATTCGCAAAGTAGGTTACTGCTTTTACAATCACTAACAACCTTTGAAATAAGAGCCATCCTTTACAGCAAGTTGCTAAAGGAACGAAAAACGACAATCCAAACAATATCAAAGATGTGCGGCTTCTTATCCAGGTATCTCTCTTGATCTTATGATGTAGCAGTTTTAAATTAGATTACCTTGTTAGGGAAAACCTGGGTGAGAAAAGCCGCAATCAACACATAAGGTTCTTGCAAGAAGTAACAAAATCCACATTATCTTTTTTGAGAAACTTCGGAGTGATCGGTCATTGATAAGGTAAAAAAAATTTTTATTTGATTACTTCGCAACAGCGCTATTGAGGTCTAAACTTCAATGAAGGTGGTCATAACCTGACCGCCTTTTTGCATATTTCCAAACTTGAAATTGTTCTGTAGCTTTCTACCTATCACTTGTTAACACTCCCCTTTATATGCGATCACTTCGGCAGTGTTAACGATTACGATCGAATGATGCAGCTCGAGCATTCTCGTTTACTGCACATATCGTAGCTTTAAAAATAGAAGAACAAACCTAGAATTTGTTCCCTTCTTTCCTGGGTTTTGAATCCATAAGAAATATTCATTTTTGCCGCAAAGAATATGGATAATAATGGCGGAGCTCTATGTTACAAAATGCTTATTAGATGCATTCAAAAAAACTTGAGAGAAGTTGAAATTTCAAATTCAAACATAAAAAACGCAAAAAAAAAGCTTTTGGTACTATTATGGCTAACGAGGAAGTAAATAAGCAAAGGAGCAAGGCTTGAGAGGAAAAAAGCAAGACAAAAACATTAGTAAGCTTTGACGAAATCGAATTGAGGATATGAACATTTTAGTAGAAGAAGACAAGAAACTAGCAGGTAGTAAATAAAATGAAACAACGTGGTGTATTGCATTGAGGATATGAACTATTTAGTATGAAGAATAAGAAACTCTCAGATAGTAAATAAAATGAAACAACATGGTGTATTGTAGCAGCTTGATGGAGAAATAATGAACGATTTTCTCTTACTTTAACGTGCTACAACTTTTTGAAAAATCTACATCGAATGCGATAGAGACCATCAGGAACAGCAAAGCTTTTTGCAATACAGCGCCATTCAACTATACTCACATCACAATAGGACAGAAAGATGGGTAAAAAACATCTAAAAAAATTTTTTTGAAGCCTTGTATTTGAAAAATTATAACTCCCTTCAAAGTTTGTTAGTATTAATGATAAGTCACCTACTTTGTAGCCACAAGCCAGCAGGACAAAAGAAGATGGGGCTTGCGCAAAGGAAACTTGTGAAAAGCAAGCTCAAATCTAAAATTGTAATTTTTCAACATTTTTCAGTCCTCAAAGTCCCAATTTATAGAGTTTTCTGATTTTTTTTTACTGATCAGTAGATTTTTTCTGCGAGAACCTTCGACAAATGTCCTAATCTTGCTTACAGAGACGAGCAATGGGGGCGATTGCCTTACTCAAATAAGATTTATGGGTCATAGAATGATTGCAAAGGCTACCTCTGTTGAGGCGCCGATATCTCAATCTGAAGATTTCAAAGAAAATAGTTAAATGTGCATGATTTAGACAATTTTTTATACATAAGGTAGCCAAAATTTCGAAAAGCGCCGTCCATTAGCCCTCGAATTCTAGCCAAAAAAGTGGATGTGAATTTCTGATTTTAGATGTGGTTATTTGAAGCTCTACAACTTCTCAGCAGATAAGGCTGAAAGCCCGCTTCGAGACCATCTTTAGATAGAACATGAAAAGTGGTTTTCAATGATATGCTGCCTCTTTTTCAAAGAAATGATTTTGATGGGAAAAGCTGTCCTGAAAAAAAAACTTGGACACGGCCATGATTTTTGCATCAACCTAACTCAATGAACGCCAAATTCATTTCATTTTCTACAAAAAGTTAAAATACTTGTAAAAGAAAATGGACAGTTTGCTCTTGAGAAAATCGTTCATGTAGCATACCAATTGGGTAGTCAACAGAATGTATTAAATGCAAAAGTAATGAGCGCTCATTCTATTAGTTGATGCGAAAATAATGGCCGATTTTCCAAGCCTTTCTTTAGGGCAACTTCTTTTTCCATCACAATATCTTCTTATGTAGCATATTACTGAAAAGCTGTTCTCATGCTCCATATAACGGTGGTTGAAGAGGGCTTCCAACCTCATCTGTTAAAAAGGTTATTGAGTATCAAATGGCCGCTTCAGATTCAGGACCTTATTGCATTCACTTTTCTGGCCAGAATTCAAGAGCGCATGAGCGTCGCTTTTGCTGTTGTATGTTATAAAATTTTCTTAACGCATACTTGATTCTATTTTCTGAAGTCATCCAAACTGAGATATCAGCGCCTAAACATGGGTAGCCGTTGCGGTTATTTTATGACCCATAAATTTCTTTTGAAAGAGTTAGTTGCCGAAGCTTCGCTCAATTCTGTAAGCGTAATGTTAGTGCATCCTACTGGCAGTTTTTGCAAAAACATCCAGCTGTTTAGAAAGCAGAAAATCGGAAAATTCTATATTCGCGGTTTTGAGGCATGCTGAAAAGATGCTGAAAAAAGTGACAATTTGAAACTTTGAATTTTTTCCTTTTCGCAGAATTTTTCCTCCAAGCCCTTTTCGAGATATTTTACACTACTGGCTTGCGGCTACAAGATAGGTCACTTATCATTCATAATAACAAACTTTGAAGGAAGTTATGAATTGTCAAAAATAAGGTTTTAGAAGAAAAAACCTTTTTTGTTTTTTAATCCGCATTTTACCGCCCGTTTATGACGTGAGTATAAGTAAATGTGCGCTGTATTGCGAAAGGTTTGCTGCTTTTGAAGGCCTTTACCGCATTGAAAAACGTAGATTTTTTAGAAAGTTATAGCAAGTCAAAGTAAAAATTCGCAAAACGGCCATTATTTTTGCATCAACTTAATAACAACCGCATTATGAAAAAAAGGAGCATTATATGAGCAAATTATGCTCTACAAAATGACTGCTAGCGTAATCCGCAAATTTTAGACTAAGAGAAAAACGTTGAGAGCTTCAAATGAATCTCATCGTCAGTCTAGAAAACTCCTACAAATTTCCTACTTTGTCAACATGTAATGTACGCATAGTCTTACTAGCTGGCACACCCGGCCTCCGCCCGTTCTGTCAACACTATGATAAAGATCGCGGCTTCCCATTTCTGTGTAACATACCGACCTCTCTACCACTTCTATATCAGGGCCCGGCACGAGCTTGTCAAAAGGGGTTTTCGAAAACGAATTCCCCTTTGACCCAAAAATTTTTTACGAATTCCCCTTTGACCCAAAAATTGATCCCAGTGATTCTGCAGTGAACATCTTAACCAAAGAACAAGTTTTGTTAACGAAGAAAATTCGCTATAGGTCAAATTAGTGAATTAACTGATAGCGGTTGTCCAGATGGTCCACTTATATTTCATCCACTTTGCTATTGGTCGATTCACTGATTTGACCAATAGCGAAGCGGATCAATCGAATCGAGCAAATCAAGTGCTTGCCTAACGCGCGTTCGTACGTCAGAGTTCGCGGTAATGATTCAGTATGAGCTACCAGCTATAGCTAACATGTCCTAAGAGCAAAACACCTTTCTCTGCTTGACTACTGACGCCATCTCCTTGAGGGACGATCAGGAGGTACGACCGGCGCGAAGTTTCCGCGGAGCGACGCAGCAACGTACCTCAGTCCTTACAACAGCAGCGCTCTCGGCACACTCTTACTTGTAGCATTAAGTCATGTATCTACCCCCACCGCCACAACCCTGTTTTTGCTGCCGGAAATCTTCAGTGGCGGAGGGTTTTGGGGCCCCACGATTTGAAGAGGCGTGCATTGTGATATCACGTTTGACATATGAGTAATACATAGATTTATGACCAAAACGATGCATTGTCACATTAAAGGCACTTTAGTAAATTGTAGGAATATATGTACAATGGTAAAAGTAGGCATTTGCGAAGATAAAACTACCTCAATTATATGAGAGATCTATTTGTGTCACTACGCAAAGCTGAAGAGGAAAACAGATGAGAAGCTAATCGACCTTTGCCAATGCAAGTGAGATAAACTGCTTAAGTAAGAGTTGAGACTTAGAGAAAATACTGAAATGACGTGAAAGGAAGGAATCACAATGTAAAACCTGGATAGGTCGCTTATAAAACAAATGTGAAGATAAGGAATATAAGGCATTCAACGCCACTTTCGTGTACAGCAAAAACAATGGTCATTTTTTTTTTGAAAAACTCATCCTACTTCTTCTTGACTGACGACTCCCTAGCATTGCTCTTAGAAGCACTTTTTTTAGCACCTGATTTTTGCCACGTTCGCCAGCAGGGGCCTTCAAGCGCTTCGCTTGCTCCAGTTTGTGAAAATGGACCAGCTCCTGAACTCATAATTTATAGAAACTAGCAACAACAAGGCCTAATTGTCTGCATTTGCTTTAAAAACCAGAGCATACGAAGAAAATAAAAATTAGATGTTCATGAGGTGCAGATATATGGTATACAATCAATTATTAAACCACCTACCGCGCTTTGATATTCGACGATAGTTCTTCATAAACAGATGGCGATATGACTCTAATGTCGCTCAGTTCTACTGCTCAGACAATCGCCGGGGGCAGGCGGGCACCGGAAAAATAGATTGCTGATATCTCGAACCCCGCTCGCGGATTTTTTGGAAAGCAATCAGGACTTTTCGGGAGACCGCTTGCTGAGTCAGCGGGTTTTTGAGAGACCGCCTGTTGAATTTTTTTTCGCTCTTATCTTTTGCAGATATATTGCTGAATCTCTGAGGAATCGAAAACTCAGCAAGCGGTCTTCCGAAAAGTCCTGATTGCTTTCTAAAAAATCCGCGAACGGGGTGCGAGAAATCAGCAATATATTTTTCCGGTGCCCGCCTGCCCCGGCGATTGTCTGAGTGCGGGCACTGCAGGTGCGTTATTTGTTGGATTATAAACCTAGATACAGGAAGCACTTCTAGTGGCAGGAAGACATAACAACACACTTACCTCGCATCCATCCTCATCCACTTTGACTTCAGGCTCCTCCTCTTTCTTCTACTTCTTTTTGTATGGCGAACTGTTTGGAGAGTTGCTAGTCGAGCCAGCGGCTGTAGACGTACTGAGTGCTTCCTTGAAAAAAAATTATGAAGCTAAATCAGAGAGCAGCCAGAATGGGACCACTTACCAGATCTGCAGGAGATAGATCAGACCAGATCAGTACCTACCAGATCAGTAGGAGTAGACCTGGAACCTCCCTGTTTTTCGCATGGTCAGCTGTACGTGGCGTGTTCGAGGGTCGGGAGTCCGGCGAACCTGTACATATATGCGCCCGAAGGGAGCACAGCTAACATAGTGTATCCCACGGCGCTAACATAATTGCATGCTGTAGTATAGTGCAGTATTTATTTGTTGCATGCCATGTCTATTGGAAAAATCCAAAAAAATTGGAAAATATAAAATCCAAAAAAAATGGCAAAACAAAAAACCCAAAAAAATGGCAAAACGAAAACCCAAAAAAATTGGCGGCCAGCGGCGGTCAGGGCAGGTGGGTGGGACAAACAATGAACTGGATAGATCCAATCGAGCTTCCTTCCTTACTGATGAGTTCCGGGGAAAGCCTAGGACCTATTCAGCCAAATCGTCTAAGGGTAGGAACGAAACGGTAGGACAACCATCGGCATCGGTTGCCTCAGTCGAGGACAACCATTGTATGCCTCAGTCGAGGGCAACCATCGGATGCCTCCGAGTACCAACGGTTGCCTCAGAGGACAACCATTTGATGCCTCAGTCGAGGACAACCATCGGATGCCTCACTTGGAGTACAACCATCGGTTGCCTCACTTGGAGGACAACTATAGGTTGCCTTACTTAGAGGACAACCATCGGTTGCCTCACTTGGGGGACAACCATCGGTTGTCTCACTTAGAGGACAACCATAGGTTTCCTCACTTGGAGTACAACCATAGGTTGCCTCACTTAAGGGACAACCATCGGCTGCCTCACTTAGAGTACAACCATAGGTTGCCTCACTTAGAGGACAACGATCGGGTGCCTCGCTTGGAGTACAACCATAGGTTGCCTCACTTAAAGGACAACCATCGGTTGCCTCACTTGGAGGACAACCATAGGCTGCCTCACTTAGAGGACAACCATCGGTTGCCTCACTTGGAGGACAACCATCGGTTGCCTCACTTAGAGGACAACCATAGGTTGCCTCACTTAGAGGACAACCATCGGTTGCCTCAATGGAGTACAACCATACGTTGCCTCACTTAGAGGACAACATCGGCTACCTCACTTGGAGTACAACCATTGGTTGCCTCACTTAGAGGACAACCATCGGTTGCCTCACTTGGAGGACAACCATCGGTTGCCTCACTGGAGTACAACCATCAGTTGCCTCACTTGGAGGACAACCATCGGTTGCCTCACTTGGACGACAACCATAGGTTGCCTCACTTAGAGGACAACCATCGGTTGCCTCATTCGGAGTACAACCATAGGTTGCCTCACTTAGAGGACAACCATCGGATGCCTCACTCGGTTGTCTCCATTCGGATGTACAACCACTCGGTTGTACTCCATTCCGATGTACAACCACTCGGTTGTAATCCATTCCGATGTACAACCACTCGGTTGTAATCCATTCCGATGTACAACCACTCGGTTGTAATCCATTCCGATGTACAACCACTCGGTTGTAATCCATTCCGATGTACAACCACTCGGTTGTAATCCATTCGGATGTACAACCACTCGGTTGTAATCCATTCGGATGTACAACCACTCGGTTGTAATCCATTCTGATGTACAACCACTCGGTTGTAATCCATTCCGATGTACAACCACTCGGTTGTACTCCATTCGGATGTACAACCACTCGGTTGTAATCCATTCGGATGTACAACCACTCGGTTGTAATCCATTCCAATGTACAACCACTCGGTTGTACTCCATTCGGATGTACAACCACTCGGTTGTACTCCATTCGGATGTACAACCACTCGGTTGTACTCCATTCGGATGTACAACCACTCGGTTGTACTCCATTCGGATGTACAACCACTCGGTTGTACTCCATTCGGATGTACAACCACTCGGTTGTAATCCATTCGGATGTACAACCACTCGGTTGTACTCCATTCGGATGTACAACCACTCGGTTGTACTCCATTCCGATGTACAACCACTCGGTTGTACTCCATTCCGATGTACAACCACTCGGTTGTACTCCATTCCGATGTACAACCACTCGGTTGTACTCCATTCGGATGTACAACCACTCGGTTGTACTCCATTCGGATGTACAACCACTCGGTTGTACTCCATTCGGATGTACAACCACTCGGTTATACTCCATTCGGATGTACAACCACTCGGTTGTACTCCATTCGGATGTACAACCACTCGGTTGTACTCCATTCGGATGTACAACCACTTGGTTGTACTCCATTCGGATGTACAACCACTCGGTTGTACTCCATTCCGGTGTACAACCATCAGCCATCGGCTGTCGATAGAGACAGTCATCGGTTGTCAATCGACCAAAACCTACGAAGGTATCAACTCGGTGAAGCCGGAATTTTTGAAGAAAAATCATTGAAAAAAAACTTTTATTGCTTCGTTTTAACAAGAAATTGGAAATTGAAAATTTACAAAAATTTCAGTCTACAATGAATCTAATGATTCAGTCCACAGTAAATGGTTCCGGCGAATGTTCTTTGTTGTTTTCCTCCTGTTTATTTTCTTTCCCGTCATTCATGAAAAACTCTTTCATAATTTTCATGAATCTCTGCATAGATTCTCCCTCGCCACTGCTGCTAGGACCAGGTACGCCACTGCTGCTAGGACCAGGTACGCCACTGCTGCTAGGACCAGGTACGCCACTGCTGCTAGGACCAGATGGGGTTGACTGAGTAGCTGGCGGTGGTTTATGTGGGGCAGACGGTGGTGGTGGCGGGGCATACCTACGGAAATTTGAGATTGGGACACAACAATAAAAAGTTGAGAACTTACCTCCTTTTGGGGGCCCAACACTCTTCATTTGACGGAGTTGGCCTCATTGGTGGCCTCCTGTGGATGATGTTTGTGGGGGGGGGGGGGGGGAGCTTTGATCAGCTTTGGTGAACTCACCTCTTCCCCCCCCTCCGTGCCCGACCCCCCCCCCCCGCGGCGTATACTTCACAAGCGTTAGGCTTGAGCTCTATCTCTTTTTGTGTGGTCAGACAAACAGAGATAGAGCTAAAATTGCAGAGTTCACCTACGGGGCTGGGAGTTGGCACAGGGGGGTAATCGAGCATGCTGATTACGAATACAATATTAGTTTTTGAAGATATCCACTACTTTTATCGATTTTATCATTTTTTGCAAAGTTTGAGCTACAGGGCTGGGAGTTGGCACAGGGAGGTAATCGGGCATGCTGATTTCGAAAACAACACAGAGAACGGGAAATAAAGTGTAGAAGTGGGCACAGGGAAAGGCCATACGGGGATAGGGATGGGATCTTTACAGTGTTTTGAAAGCCCCGAGCGGAGCCGGGTAAGCAAGCTATTGCATAAGCACCACAACTTCAAGAACAAAAATGAAAGGAAGGAGAAGGCAAGAGACAATGACGAATGAAAAAAAGGAAAGTAAAAATTGGAGCTACCGCAATTCACCTCTCAATAGGACTTCCAAGTTGTTTCGTAGAGTCATCCATTTCAACCAGATCGTGTGCTCTCACATTAGTCTGAATACAAAAGGAGAATTAAGTATACGCAAACAAGGTAGCTGACGTTGAGAGCAAAAATCGTAGAGATCGCTCACTTGATAAATCACGAGATTTTGGCCATCGCTAACGATAAAGCAACATCTGCAAAGAAAAACAGATGTGTAGTACTCAAGATGTCAACAAACGAAAAGGCATACCTGGGCAAATGAGCTGGTATCCAGGCTGTGCGTACACAGCCAAAATGTATAGGACTGACAATACGCGCGAGTTCCGTCATACCACCACTTTTGCAAAGTGGACCTACAGAGCAAGTCCTCCAAAGAATCACTTCAGACAACGATTTCCTCTGGAACAAAGTGTAAAATCGGAAAAGAAGATAGAGATAGCATGACTGACAAACAAAAACTTACAGCAATATCATCAACTCGACTACATCGAGACTGAGATACAGTTAGTACGAGAGGAAGCAAGGGGTGAGCGACAATCTCGGATTTCGCAGTTATGAAGAAGGAAAAGATGAGATTGTCTTAATGATACCTGAGTCACACAAAAGCGATGCCCACACATTCGCAATTTGTGGGTGATGTAGCGAACTTTGGCAAAATCAGTGTTTCCATCCATGGTCATGTGCCATAGATTGAGAGAGCCATTCTCGTGATTGGTAAGTAGGCAAACTTCATTTGATGTTCTTCCACCTGGCACCGATTCATGAAGAACAAGCAAGAAAATTGTGACAAAAAGAGGAAGAGTAAACTTACACACCTTTTTCTTTGTCTTCCTTTCTTCGCAGTACGTCACACTTATATTTTCGAGGAATAAAAGTCTGAACTGTAGGACGAATGGAAGAGGCATCAATGACAGGAAATGCAGCTAAACGATGATATCATATACAAATGTGATGTAGAGATCCACGCCGATGCAAAACTATGAACGTGGCAAATTACAAAAAACCATTGATAAGTGACAAAAATAAGAACATCTAGCTAAATTGGTAGAAATCGAGATTTATCCAATTTGGAGCAAAAGCGGTACGACTCTTATGGTTCAAGAGCATCTTAACTAAGCACGATAGAAGCGTACCTGGCAATCTCGAAGTGAAGGAAACAACAGTTTGGCGATTAACATCATCTAACCATTCGATTGTCCTGCAGAAACTAGATTATTTGAAAAAAATGACATGTAAACGCTTACCATGTCAAAAAAGAACCATCAACAGGATGCACCGCGAACAGTATGTCAGTTGAACGAATCCACCGTCCTAGCAAAATCTTCAGCTTTATATGGGATGCATTTTTCGAAGAAGGCGTGCCCTAAAAGAAAGTCTTTCATAAAAAGACATCACGATCAAGTGATCCAAAAAATCCAAATGATTGGCCAAAGCGACCAGTTTTTAAAAAGCAGATAAGATATACCGAACAAACGCTCCCTGCATTGGAATCATTCGGTTTGACTTCTTCAATATGTAAGTCTAACGAGGACGGACTGCCTTCGCGAGCAGGACTTCCGCTTGAACGCAAGCCCATTGAGCCTCAAAATAAAATCAAGTAGTGCCCAGGCGTTACATGCACAAACCTCGACCAAAATTGTCAGTTTCTAAACAAAGCGCTTCAGACAACAACTTCTCGACCCCGATGTCATATAACAGTTCTTTGTTGTTCATCCAATGCAACTGCAGCGGTTCGCGCAGAATTACGCCATTCACTGAAGAAGCACATGGAACATAATACCTATAGAGCATAAATGATAGAAAAGAAAAGGCAAAGAAGACGATGGGCGGAGAAGAACTTAAATGCTGCGAAACGGCCGTAGTCACTGGAGCGCGTTTTCGACTTGGGACTTGAGTTTCGCAGCATTTGAGTTCTTCTGTGCTGTATGATCATTTTTCGAAAACTTTGGCTGGGATGAGTGCGAATATCGACCTACCGTGCAACAACTATTGCGAAACAAGATGATTAGCATATTCTAAGCGGATGCTGCTACAGACTAACAAGGAATTTGGTGCCCATGACTATTAGTACAAGGATATCAATCCACGATTGCTGCTATCAATACCTTCATCTGTGTCCTCGACCTGTTGCTAACATGTCCGCAACACGGCAACGTCTTTGCAACATGCAACAACACATGGGCAAGACAATGTCAGCTTTACGGCCAACATGCTGCTGCATGTGAGCAACATGTTCATGCGTGCTCAAATCAGGGACGCAAAGCAGGGGTCATAGGGGCAATTGAGGAATGGATGACACATATCCACCACTAAATGCGTTTGAAGCTCTGCTTTCGCTGTCTGCTGAGCGATCGCCTATAAGATACAGGTATGTGTCAATTACGTGTTCCCTTTTGAGAACTACACAGCGCCTATGACGCATACTTGGTCCACTTTCCTATTGGTCAAAAAGGTGGACTCAATAGCGAAGTGGATCAAGTGGATTTGCTGTTGGTCATTTCAGTGATAGGCGGATCAGGTGAACTAAGTATGGCGCGAGCCATACGGAATAGAGAGCATGTGATTGGACACAGATTGTAATTGCCTTTTTCCGCATGATTTTCGCATACTGGAGTCATAGTCAGCGGAAAAGTCTAAGACCTTGCTTAGACGTACTTTTTTAGCCGGCCAATCTTTGTATTCTACGAAAAGCTGAATGCTCTCTGAGCAAGATTTGTGGCCACCCAGTCAGTACTTATAAGGGGGCCTTTTTTGAATTTAACACTTTTATTGTATCTCCTATATCTCGCCGTTTCAAATAACAAAAAAGTGAAATAGATGAAAGAAACAGCAACTCGTGCGCAAAAAACAAACGAAAAAAACATACACAGCGCTTGCGCCATGTATGCGTAATATAGTACTTCAATAGTAATATAGTACAACTTTTGCGTAATATAGTAGCCACTGGTCTTCAGCCGTTACCGTACGCGTAGCTCTCCAAGCACGGAGCATCAAAAAGTAACCTACCCAGATTCAACTTACATGATTTTAACCTGAATGTTGAAGTAGCCAGTACGCGGACGATAAGGACATATGATGAAGGTGAGATGCATGGATTGAGAAGTTCAGGGCACAGACTATATGTATAACGACTGTTTTCGCAATGCAGCATGTAGGTACAACTTGAGCAATTAAGTTCTCACAGATGTAATATGACAACATGTTGTAAGATAATGAAAACCTTCCTATTCGAAGTGTCGTCAGTATCCCATTCCTATGAAAGCGTGGTAGCTTAACCTACACCAACATCGAAAAACTTTCAAGGATCATAGTTTTCAGTTCTCTTGGTCAGATTATTGGCAATCGCTATGGGTCCAAGCGTTTTCAAGTTTTCCTATGTAAATTGTCTCCAAATAACCCAACAAGACTTTTGACTGGAAGAGAAGCCTATTGTGATCAAGCCTGGCTTTGATTAACATTATAGAGGTAGCATAGATAGAAGGGTTGCCGGCTGCGAAACTCAAGTCCCAAGTCGAAAACGCGCTCCATTGACAACGGCCGTTTCGCAGCATTTAAGTTCTTCTCGATGGGCGGTGCTATAGATTACAAAAACTGTAGGTGATTCGTGCTAAAAGTCCTACAGGAATCTTGCAAAGCAAGGATGGCAAAATGATAGATCCCTCTTATATATAAAGCTGAATGTCTGTTTGTCTGTCTGTCTGTATGTCTGTCTGTCTGTATGTATGTACGTATGTTCCGAATAGAAATTTTTATTTCTGAACCGATCGGGACCAAAATTTGCACACGCACACTTCGGGGCAGGGTGGGTGTCATAGGCTACCTTTCGTTATCGATCGACATCGATTTTATCGATTTTTTGCAAAATTTGAGCTATGGGGCTGCGAGTTGGCAGAGGAGGTTGGTGGGGGTGATCAGCATGCCCCCCTGGGGGTGATCAGCATGCTCGATTACCCCTCCCCCTGCCAACTCCCAGCCCCGTAGCTCAAATTTTGCAAAAAATCGATATCGATCGATAACGGAATGTGGACTATGACACCTGCCCTGCCCCGAAGTGTATGTGTGCAAAGTTTGGTCCCGATCGGTTCAGAAATAATTTTTTTTTATTCGGAACATCACGGGCGGAGCCGGGTAAGCCAGCTAGTGATTGATAATCATGAAAATAGTACATTGCTCTTTTGTAAGAAAAATTTCGAACTTAAAATGCCTATTAAATTGAAAATTAAAACAACTGGGAAGAAGTGGGCCACTCAAAGGACCTCACCTGCGTACTTCAGCGGTGGTAGTCAGAGCATTTTCCAGGAAAGATCTTGCTGACTGCAATGGAAAGCTGATTGTTGCGCGGTTTTACCTAAATCACCATACACAGAATGCAGCCATTCATCTCAATCAAGAAAAAACCATGTTCAAATTAGCCAAAGTTACTTACAGGTATCATATAGTCCCTTGGCCAACCCAATGACCCAGTGGGCTTGGTCACCAAAGTGCAGTTCAATGGGATCATAAGGTACTGCAGCCAAATCGGCCATAGTCTGGAACGAGATCATCAAAACCTTCCTGTGTATTCTCAACATCCAACATACCCCTACACCCAGCTTTTGTTGCATAGAATAGAATTACCAAGCTTTCCTCCCAACATTCGATTATCTCCAATGCGAGTTTCTTCGAAGAGGACTGGTACGAATTCAAAAGGAATTACAGTCTGTTGACGAGGCTTGTGTCGTGCACACACTAGTTTGGCAAGCATCTAAATTTTTCTGTAGTTTTCGGACAGTTAAATAAGAACAAAAACACGAAACGTCAGTAACGAACACTTTGCAATTGACCCAAAATCAAGTAAGTACAAAAACGACATGAACATGAACAGACGTTAAAAAACATGTTACTAGACTACTATAGACTCGAGATTTGGCTACAACTAAACATTTTGACAATTGTTTCGCTAGAAAACTATAAGAGTTTCATTTGAGCAGTTCCGATATGGTTATACCTATGAGATATCAGACGATAAAAGATGAAAATTGAAAAGAAAAACAAAGATAACTTACGAGAAACTCAAACTGCAGTTTTGTTTCAGATACAGCCACGCGATTCCATGTTATTCGTACTGAAATTGAAGAAAAATGAAGAGTAGCAAAGATGACTGAAAGTAATAGAGAAGATGAGTGATTGACGCGGGAGAACGCTGATTATAGGACCCAGCGACGCCGTTATCGATTGGAGCGCGCTTTCCTCCTTAGGAAACGGGGCTGCCGAAGCTATTTTTGGCTCTAGCAATGAGGAGAGGGGGAGGTTTGAAACCAAAATTTCAATATATACTAATGTTTAGGTGTAGAGTAGATTTATGTAAATATTTTGGAAAAATTATGTGAATTGAGAGTTTTGCCAAGCTCAGCTTGTCATTAGCTTGTCAAATGACAAGCTAATTTGGAATTTAGTTGGGGAAACTCTTCATTCACATAAGTTTTTCATAATATTTCATACTTAGTTACTTAGTCCTACTGTGCATACACACACCAAATTTTGCGCGATTTCGTCACCTCTGCGTTGCAAACGAGCCATTTTTTCGTTTCTTTGGTAGCGGGAAATTTTCAGAAAAATGTTTGCCACAACCTTCAGTCACATAATTTTTCAATGAAACTCTTACGTTAACTCCTACAGGCTTGTGTCCACGTGCGTACCAAGTTTCATACTATATCGTCATCTGCGCGTTCCAAACTAGCCGTTTGAATTCACATCTTCATTTAACAATTTTGCGAAATTCACGGAAAAAATGCTTATTACTCGTTCCGTTCACATAAGTTTCTCATAATTTTTCATAGTTTGTTTCCATTAGCCTCTCTCCGTTCGCATACAAAATTTGGTGCCATAGCGTTGCGCATACATTGAGAACTAGTCATGTATGCTGTTACAAATAGCATCGCTTGAGCGACGTCGCGCGTGCGACAATTAGCGACGGCGCGGTTTGACGCGCGCGAATTCCAGTTTTCGCCTGCTGAGGCACATAACATGTTAAGATAAGCAGCGAGCATAAACTACCAATTTTTTCCGAAGCTCCGCCCCGGACCCCCCAAAAACGATTACCCCTTTGCTTTTTTTGCCGAAAACGATTTCTAGCTTGTCATTTGACAAGCTCGTGCCGGGCCCTGTTCTATATGCCACTTCGCTGCCTACAACCAGGGCCCGGCACCAGTCAATTTTTCTAAAAACGACCTGACTTTCGAAAGTTTTACAGAGTTTCCTTTGACCTACCTAGGAAAAGGTGAAAACAAGAAAGATTACTTGTCTGAAAGAAAAAACGTGAGATAAGAGTGAAAATCCAAATTGGAGATGAATATCACGCATGCACAAGAGTTTGGAATTGGAACGCGTTATTTGATAAAGCGATTTATGAAGAAACTAAGGCAGGCTAAAAATAAAGGAAAGGCAATGATATGAAAATGTCTTTATGCTCAGGGATAGATTTTTGACCGGGGAATCCGTCCATGATAGAAAAATCCGAAACTTATGTGAAGTGACAAAAATATATGCTTCAGACGATCTCAGATCGTCTGGTGACCGTCTGGAGACAAATTAAATTTGAAAAAGGTAATACTTCACATACGTTTTCAAATCTTTTTGCATATTTTTTTGCAAATAATTTTCTATATATGCTGTTCAATTTTGGTCATATGCTTCTGTGTGCGTTGTAAACAAGCAATTTGTTTATTTTAGCCTTGCTTTCAAATCGCGCGCACTTTTCGCCATACACGATTGAGCATCTCAGTCATGTGATAATCCGTCCGAAAATCTTGTGTTCGACTAAACAGAGCTTATTCTTGGTGCTTTCTCGGATCAGCATTCTCAATCATCCCTGCACGAGCCCTCAGCTCTACAGGTCAATGTTTGCAAATGATCGATAAAGTCGACAAGGGCAATTCTAATTTTGAAGGAGAGTCATGTGATTGTATTCAGCATGCTCACGTCCTCCTCATTCCTCCCCCCTCCCCCCCCCCCTTCATCCAATATCCAACCGAGTAGCTCAAAGCCCTCAACTCGATAAAGTCGATAAAGGTAACCGATAATTATGAAGGTGGATACTGAATTGTAATCAGGATCTCCACTTTCCCTGTATCAACTCTAAGCGTCCCAGTCCAAAGATAACATAAAAAATGACAAAGAGAATCGATTTATTCGAAATGATACTGCAATGTCAATCAGCATGTCCACCCAACCAGCTGTACCAATATCATAGTTGTAAAGGGGGGGGGGGGGCAATGGATCTTACCCCCTTCACGTTTGAGCCAGAACCCGAATTACTCCTTTCACCTGAGGCTGATTTGAGATGGTAATTTGAGAGCGAGTTAAGATCTAAAAGCTATTAGAGATTCACCTCAGTCGTGAAACACAACAACCACCTATTTCATGAAAAGAAGTAAATCAATAAATTACAGTGAGAATTGTTACAGTTGAAGGCGAGTGCAGTAGAAACCGTAGCATTGAAATAATTAATTGAAAAATTGCTTGGATAATGAATATAAGAACCAAAAAACAATTGATTTGTTTTCTCAAACCGAAGCGATTGAGACCAGAAAAGTCTTGCTAAGGATCAAAAACAGCTTAGTGAGATATGCAGTGATTACCGTGAATAGTAAATGATTAAATTAGTAAGATTCCTACCTTTATGAAATAAAAGAGATACAAATGTATTTTTTGTCAGCTAAGGCGAATCAGTAGTTATATCGTTCAGATAAGAATCAGTAGTTATATCGTTCAGATAAATCTATCATATCTTACTGTTAAGGATAATTAGAAAATAGCCGACGGTCTATATCGATTTTCCAAAATTCCAGTTCTTGAATGGTATAAGGCCTAAGGTGTTAGGTTGTCCGGAAATCGATGCCCGTTTTGAATTTCAACCGCAAAAATTCATGCATTTCTCATTTCTAAATGGTTGCAAAGAACCATTCGATAGAACAAAGCAAGCTTTACAAGATGGCTGTCTTGCTTTTGCACCAGCTTTCATGCATATTGAGTTTTAAGCCAAAAACTAAAAAGACTCAGCAGCCCGAAAAAATCGAAAAAAATTGTAACTTAGTTCATGAAAATCCTTCAAAAATTCTTACTTGCTCACGTGAACACTATCCGCATAAGACGTCCACATACGCCTTTGCCGTATTTTCTCCTCTGTTAGAAACCAAGAAAACGGAACTTTCCGTGCATTTGCCAAAGTGATGCTGTGCCGTCCCCTCATAGGTAGTTGTGTACCACAAGCCTGTAGAAGTACAGACTTAAATTTTCAGTTCTCTACAAGCTTTAGTTCACGAGTAATTCTGAATATAGCTTTCCCTAGTTAGGTGGCTCAAGCTAAAATTAATTTCTCAAGAACTAAAGCTTGTGGAGAGCTGAGAATTTACGTTTATATTTCTACAGGTCTGTAGTATACTACTGCCTATGTGGGACCGGCACAACATCACTTTGGCGAATGCACGAAAATTTCCGTTTTCTTGGTTTCTAACAGAGGAAAAATAACGGCAAAGGCGTATGTGGACGTCTTATGCGGATAGTGTTCACGTGAGCAAGTAAGAATTTTTGAAGGATTTATGAACTGAGTTACGATTTTTTTCGATTTTTCGGGCTGCTGAGTCTCTTAAGTTTTTGGCTTAAAACTCAATATGTATGAAAGCTGGTGCAAAAGCTAGACAGCCATCTTGTAGAGCTTGCTTTGCTCTATCGAATGGTACTTTGCAACCATTTAGAAATGAGAAATGCATGACTTTTTGCGGTTGAAATTCAAAACGGGCATCAATTTCCGGACAACCTAATATATTTCACGCGATTCTACTCGCTGCGCGATCTGACACTGCACCGACTCTTTGTAACTGGTCGTTAGCGCGCTTTGCATGGGCCAGACTCAAAGCTTTTGCTATAACTTATGGTAGCACGCCTATGCACTTAGGACCCGCACACGATTGATCTGTAAATATCCGGCAAACTGGCAAGTCGGGTGAATGTAGCGATTTGACGAAATCGCGCGAGGTATGCCTTAGGCCTAATGTTCTCTGGGGCTTTTCGCTCTCTGGCTTCCAAAAATGTTGCTCAGTTGACCCATAAAAGCTAATACAATGAAGGAGCGAGCTGGAGAAAGCTAATAGTAAATGTCTCCACCCCATTTCTAACAAGGGATGGATATTCGGTCTAAGTGGCTTTTCTATCATAATGTATACTATCTTATAGAGCATGGAATGCTGATTCCAAAGCTGCTCTCGATATCTGCAAAGCGCCTTTGGGAGGGGAGTTATGACAGTTTTTTGGTGCAAAGATGTGAAAGCACCGCTACCATAAGGTCTATGGAAATCTTAGTTCGCGAGCGCAGATGAAACCTTGATTACTACATAGGCGTTTTATAGAACAAAGACCTTCCAATACTCATGTCAGTCATTACTCCTTTTAAGCGTCGGTAATACCTCAATATCTATTTTTATCGTAGCCAAAACCATTGAATTTTTACCTCAAAAATTTCCCAGAACTCCCCTGCCAGAGGAGTTTTGCAGATTTGAAAAGCGGATTTGAAATCAGCGTTCCATCAAGACTTTATAATAACGGGCTAAGGATTGTTTACGTGTGTGTGTGTGTGTGTGTGTGTGTGTGTGTGTGTGTGTGTGTGTGTGTGTGTGTGTGTGTGTGTGTGTGTGTGTGTGTGTGTGTGTGTGTGTGTGTGTGTGTGTGTGTGTGTGTGTGTGTGTGTGTGTGTGTGTGTGTGTGTGTGTGTGTGTGTGTGTGTGTGTGTGTGTGTGTGTGTGTGTGTGTGTGTGTGTGTGTGTGTGTGTGTGTGTGTGTGTGTGTGTGTGTGTGTGTGTGTGTGTGTGTGTGTGTGTGTGTCCGTCTGTTACGAAATTCGTACAGCGTGTTCCAGCCAGTGTTCTAAGCCCAATTTTTGCATAGCGCATGCTCCCTTGAAAGTCTAACATGCAAAAGCGCGAGTAGATTCGTTGAGTGGATCCCTCAGAAATTGCGCGCCAAACGGATCCACCTGGCTTCTGTCCCGCAAAATTGGGTCCGTATCACCACTTTTTGCAAAGTCGTGAGTGTGTTTGGTTAGCAAATGTGCAAGCGATGGACTTTAGCC